GAGTCGGAACGGGTTGGACAGCATTTACCAACAAAAATAATTCTAAAGGTTTGATCTGCTGCTCAATGCAATACTGAAGTGTAGGAATACAATTCCAAGGAATGAAGTTCAAGAGAAAGATTTCCCAGATTCAAAAAGGTCAAATTGTATCTCCAAATTACTGGGGGACAGTTCCTCAGCAGTTAAACCTAGAAAACAAGGAAAAGTGATAATGATGTCTCAGTTTTCTGCCTCTATATTCCCTATTCTTCCCAAATAATGTTAAGTGCCTAAAAATAAACTTCTTAGAATCTGTTAATAGAAAGAGATCTGGACTTGGAAGTAGGAGGACTAAATTAGACTTCACTTAACCAATGTGTAATGCATACCTATAACTTGCCAGTCACCACCCATCTGTCAGTTTGTTGTACTGTGGTAGCTTGCATGTTAGCTATGATACTAGAAGTTATACTAGACGTATATCAAATACCCATGGTGGGCAGAGCTTTCAGACTAAGACAGACTAGGAAAAAAGGCCTGGAGATTTACTTCTGAAAAGCAGCCGATAAAAACCCCTCGATAGCAACAGTTCATTGTCCAATATAGAGCTGGAAGAAGAGTCCTTTAGGTTGAAAGGAACTACACAATAACCACAATGGACTCTAAAACATCAATGCTCAAGAAAATGATACACAATTGAGAAACATTTTGTACTGTTATATGTAAGGTCACCATGAGTCCAAGCCGAACTGTCAGCTAACACTTGCCAGGCAGTGAACAGGAGACAGATAAAGCTGCTATCCTCATGAAGCTTACATTTGCTATGATTAAGTGCTGTCAAGTCAGTTCTGACTGATAGCGAACCTCTACAGGATTTCCACAAAGCAGCTGGTGGGTTTGAACTGCCTACCTTGTGGTTTGCAGTTTAGTACTGATGGTACAGCACCACACCAGAAGCTTACAGTTGTTGTTGTTATTAAGTGCAGTCGAGTCGGTTCCGATCCATAACGACCCCGTATATGTTTCTGAGGAGCAGCTGGTGAGCTTGAACCACCAACCCTGTGTTTCAAACCAACTTTGCAGTCCAGCGCATTAACCCACAGCATTACACAAGAAGTGGTAAAAAAACATCAGTTTGAACCTCAAGGTCAGTGGTTCAAGAGTTCAAGCCACTCTTTGGAAACTGTATACAGGGTCGCTATATGTCACAACCGACTCAACGGCACTCAACAACAACCTTGATTTCACCTGCAATATAAAAGAATTGGGCTTGGTGGTTCTCAGATTGTGTTCCCCAAGACACCTGGCCTCCACTATTGTGTACCTTCTATTTTAACTGCAACAGCTTTGCTTTCTTCCTGGTTTATCTATCAAGGTTCCCTATATAATTTTACTTGCAAAAACAAAAGCGTTTTTTAAAAACAAATGATCTCTAGGTACCATTCCAATTTTGCAATTCTGTCTTCTATGTTTCATACTCATTGTTCTGACCTAATTCCTTTTTATCATGCCAAGAATTCCACAGAGATATATTAAAAGGCCAACTAATTTATGTAGGGCTAAAGAATAAATCAGAAACCCAAATAACTGCTTAATTTTTCTATGTCTGTAGATGGTAATATCATATAACAATTTTTTTTTTTTAAGATTAGCAAGCAAAACTAGATTTCATTTGTTGTTTCTCTACTTTTAACATTCCCCTCCACAAAAGCAACAAAATCGCCACTAGTTCTTTATTTTATCTTTATTTCCAAATTCCTTAGCATGCCATTCAAGGCCTTTCTGTAATCTGGCTCCTTTTAACTTTTCCTTTCCACTCTGAAAAGAGAAGTGATGGCACTGTCACTTAGGCAGTGGATTACTAAGCACAAGGTCCATGAATCAAATCTACACCTGCTCCTTGGGAAAAAGATGAGGCTGTCTGACAGCTTATGTAGTGTCATTAGGAGTTGGAACCAACTTGATGGCAGCAGATCTGGTTTCTGGAGTCTTGGTGTGGCGCTGTAAGATAAGCACTGGACTGCTAACCACAAGGTGCTCTTTGTTTGTTGTTAAGTGCCTCTTTGAGTCGGTTTCGACTCATAGCAACCCCTTTTCCGAGGATCGGCTGATGAGCTCAAACTGCCAATCTTGCAGTTCAAATCGACCTTTTGGTCAGGTGCTTATCCTACAGTGTCACACCACGACTCTGCTCCTTGGAAATCCTATACAGGGTTACTATGCATGGGAACCAGCTCAATGGCACACAACAATTTTGATGACTTGGCTTTCTCTATTCAGCACTCTTTGTACCTCTTTACTGCTTATCTTTCCCGAAACACTTTCAGACTATTGCTCATGTAGTAACCTCTGCCTAGATTACTCCCACCCACTACTACTTTCAAATCCCTCAAGGCCAGAACCAACTTGAATGTCACAATACAGGCCAGGTTAGGAGAACAGCAGGGATTCTGTTTTGTCTACCCCTGCAACCCTGAATACCCAACAGGTACTCAGACCAACCCCACTGCCACTGAGTCAGTTCCAACTCATGTTGTTGTTAAGTGCCATCAAATCAGTTCCAACTCACAACAGCCTGGTATAAGGATTTCTAAGAGCATCCAGTGGGTTTAACCTCCCAGCAATGAGCAATGTACTTCATCTACAATGCCACACCAGGACTCCATTCCAATTCACAGAGACCCTATATAAGACAGAATACAAACTGCTCCTTAGGATTTCCAAGACTATAAATCTTTATGGGAACAGACAACCTCATCTTTCTCCTGATAAGTGGCTGGTAGCCTTCAACTGGTGACCTTGTGATTTGCCTTGCACACAAGAGCCCTTTAACAGCAAAAAATGTTAAAATACACTGATTACTGTGAGTTCAAAGGAAAGTAATCATTATGCACAACAGAAATCAAACATTATCTATATCTGGCTTCTAAATGCATTGCTTGATTTACCGGTTAACATCCTGATTACAGCTGGCTGAATAAACGCCCAGGGAATCACAAAATTTAAAAGGCCACTTTAACAAATTCATTAAGATAACAATGCGTACTCAGAAAATCAAAAAGCAAATCAAAAGATACTTGGGATCTCTTCCTAAATTAACAAGTTCTGGTTCCTTCAGAAATAAATCTATTTTAAAATCAAAACAAAAACCAAAGTTTATCTTTATTAAGGGTACAAGAATACAAACTGCTCATAAATGATATCTTTAGGTAAATTTGGGAAAGGCGAGCAACAACTAAAACAGTGTTCACATTCAAAACCCGTTATAGAAAACAATGAGCATTAAAGTAATACTGGCTAAGTATGACCACCGCGAGGAGTCCTGGTGTGGTGCTGTGGGTTAATGCGCCAGACTGCAGAGTCGTTTGAACTGCAAGGTCGACGGTTCAAGCTCACCAGCCGCTCCTCAGAAACCCCCAAAAAAGGATCGCTATGGATCGGGACTCGAATGGCATTTAACAAGAACAACATAGCGGATGCGGTAGGTTAATGCGCTGGGCTGCAAGGTCGGTTTGAATCGCAAGGTCGGCGGTTCAAGCTCATCAGCTGCTACTCAGAAACCCTACACAGGATCGCTATGGGTCAGAACCGACTCAACAACACTTTTTTTAAAGTATCTGTTGTAAAAATTAGATGCTGGCTGAACTAATTAAAGCTCAATGAATTTTCATTAGCAAATTTGATTAAACAGACCAATCAGATAATCAGTTAAAGTGTAGCGTAGTGCGAATCGGGCTGCCAACATCAAGGTAGCAGTTCAAAACTACCAGAGGTTCCGCAGGAGAAAGATGAGGCATTCTGCTCCCGTAAAGATTTACAGCCTCGGAAACCCTGTTCAGGGTCGCTATGAGTCGAAACCGACTCCACGGTACTTAACAACAACAACAGGGTAATTGTGCTAAGGTATTCAATTACTTTGTACCTGCATTCTCATCTGAGTCTATAGAAAAACTCCACTCCCTTCCCCACCCTTATCCACAAACATTCCAATCACAAGATTAGGGACTGATCCTAGAGATGATCATATACTCAAAGCCTATGACCTTAATATGAAAAGCGGTTTTCACGTTGTGCTGCCTGTAACCAGGCCTTGGTTCAGAACAGAGCCAACTCGGACACGCTTTTGGATTTTTGAAAGTGAAGCCAGGCAAAGCACTCAGATCTCAAGATGTTCGTTTAAATCCGTTTGACACCTGCTCCTTTCAAACACTATAGTGCAAACTCCAAACGCTTGAGCAGCAGTCTTAGCAGAAATGACAGATATCCAGGCTGAACTGGGTCAGGGTTACAGTTACACTTGTGCTGCATATTTAGACCCTTTTGTCTACAAACTTGAACTCTAACTTAAGTTCCTTCCATGGTAACGTGCTCATTGGGTCCCAGAAACCAAAGTAATTTTTCTGAGACAGGGAGAGCACAAAGCACGCTGTTCGATCACTACAAGGACCTTCCTCATGCCACACATCATGCAACCAGCGGCCTCGGTTCCCCGCCCGGTCCCTAGGCGAGCGGGTCGCTCGGGGCAAATCGCCTGAGCCCCAACAAGCTGGATAACAGGGATTTTTTTGCACGTGGGCTTCCCTCTTTCTATATGGCCCCTACTAGCCTAAGCGGTTTCAGGCCTGGGGTCACATTACGTAAACAGCCCTGGCCCCGGCTTTGCCAGGCCGGCCTCCGCCCCCGCCCCCCAGTGCCCCTCCCCGCGCGTCCCGCACCGGCCCTGCCCCGCGTCAGGCCCGGCC